TCAAGCTCAGAATCCCTTGGATTCAACCTCTCTCAAGAATAAACCTCCACAACACCAGAGATGGAGGCAGATATAGGGACATGAAGAGAGGAAGCAGCTGGGGACTCTAGACTCATGGGAAGAAAGGGACTGAGAGCTGGTGGCCAGGAGGCAGACTTGCAAAATGTGCCCTTTGGTGGTATAAATTATTATATATGCCTGAGTGTTTTTTTAAAAAAGAGCTAAAATGAATAGAGAGAAATACTCTTAACTGATAGTATATGGAGGGGATTATCATCATTGTAATGAAACAAGGTGTATGATTTGTTGAATGTAAAACTGATGATCTGCCCTGTAAACTTTCACTGAACTCACAATAAAAACTTAAAAAACAACAACAGAATAAACTTCCAGTCTTTTGCTGGAGAGGGGATGTGGTTGTGCAAAGTTGAGGAAAGAATCAAGAGTCTACTGAGTCCATCTGTTTTATGCTCTAAACTCAAATGCTTTTTAAAGTTTTCTAGTTTCCGTATCTTGTTACTTTCCTTTATTTACTATCTCCCTTCTCCTATTCTGTTGGTCCTTGTAGTTTCTGGAAAAAACAGAAAAGTTCATGTGCTCAAACTCTACCTTTAATCAGAAGTTCCTACTTTTTACATTATGAGGGGGCTTCAAAAAGTTTGTGGAAGAATAGAATGACAAGATAATGAGTAGAATATTTCCACAAGCTTTTTGAAACCTCCTCATCAAATATGTTTCTGGGTTATTAAATTTAAAAAAGCCCCAAAATGAACACATGTTTTGTAGACATCTAACATTTGAGGGAAAAAATGGACTATCTCTGCTCTGTCATTTATGGTGATGTGATTATAGAGGTGCACAGGCTGGCAGTATTGTGAAAGAGCAGAACAAAGCAAGTCTTGCTCACTACACTCCATTTACACTGGTCTCCTTGCTGATGCCTCCACATTCCCAGCATGCTCCCTCTACCTGGACCACTCTCCTCTAGGTATTTCAATGGCTTCCTACCCCCTTTCCTTCAATTCTTTCTTCAAATGTCACTTTCTCAGTGAAGCTCTCCATGGCCACATATTTACCACACTCAATTTATCCTAGCACTTGTCACAATCTAACAGCCTAACATGACCCCATTGATGTTAGATAGCTTCTTTGCTTTCAGTTATGTGAATGTAACATCCACGAGAGTAGAGATATGCGTCTCTTTTCTTTGCTGTTACATCCTTGGTACCTAGAATACTATGCGGCACATAATAGGCTCATAATCCATAGCTGTGGGATGAAAGAAGTGAGGTGTAGGTGCAGGGCGTGATACCACTGTAAACTTCATCGCTTTGCACTAATTCATACTAATATTCTACTATTGTTGTTAGGTCCTGTCCAGTCGGTTCCTACTCAGCAATCATATGCATAACAGAATGAGACATTGACCAGCCTTGTGTCATCCTCACAATCATTCCTATGTTTGAGCCCATGGATGTAATCACTGTGTCAGTGCATCTTCCTCTCTTTCACTCACCCTCTATTTTACTAAATGCAATGTCCTTCTCCAGGGACTGGTCCCTTCTGACATCATGTCCAAAATCTGTGAAATGAGGTCTTGCCATCCTGGCTTCTAAGGATCTTTCTGGCTTTACTTCTTCCAACACAGATTTGTTAGTTCTACTGGCAGTCCACAGTACATTCAATATTCTTCACCAACACCATAACTCAAATGCATCAGTTCTTCTTCAGTGTTCAGCTTTCAAATGCATATGAAGTGACTGAAAATACTATAGCTTGGGTCAGGTGCACCTTAGTTCTCAAAGTGACTAGCTTTGCTTTAAGGAGGTCTTTTGCAGCAGATTTGCACACCAGAGCAATAAGTCATTTGATTTCTTAACTAGTATGCCATCTTCCAATACACTTTATTAAGATGGTTTTTATCCATAAATATTTCAATATACATTTCTAACAATAAGTAGTTTTTAAAAAATTTTTTACATAACTACCCAATAAGAATTCCTTAATACCTTCTAATACCTAGTCACATGTTCAATTTTCCTTGACAATTGCAAAATGTTTTTTTACAATTGGTTTATTTAAATGAGGATCCATACATTATTTCACTGGTGTGTCTCTTAAGTCTCTTTTAAGCTACAATAGCACTGTTGCCCCTGTTTTATGCTATCTATTTGATGAAGAATCTGGGCCATACTCATTTCAGGATTTCCCACATTCTGGACTCCGCTGATTGCTTCCTCATGGTACCATTTAACTTGTTTCTCTATCACCTGAATGTCCTTGATAAGATTCAGGTTCAAAGAATATTTTTATTTTGTTTTTTGGTAAGAATCCTTCTGAGGTGGTGCAGCATACTTCCTATTGTATATGTCAGGAGTCGCACAATGTCTGTTATCCACACTATGATGAATGACTGTGAACATCAATCAGTTCATGCTGAAATACTTTTGGGGGCTGACATATTTGTATACTACACTGGACTAGTAACCATAAGGTTGGCAGTTGAAGCCCACCAGTCACTCCTTGGTAACCCTATACCGGGCTCTTGTGAGTTGGAACCAACTTGATACTTAACAACAACATACTGTCATCTGCATTACCACTGAAAGGCATCAAGAATAAGATGAAGAGAAAGATGGAATAATGAACAGATATGTGATAAAGAAAGCAAGTTTAAAACGTTAATAGATTCTAGTTCTCTACTATAAAATTATTTCAAGTTTTCTGTCTGTCTAAAATTTTCATAAGAAAAAGAGGGAAAAAATCGATCAGTTGGTTTTGATTTTTAGACTAAAGTTCATCAAAACAATAGTCCATCTAATGCTTTTAATGGACATTGACGATTGTTGCGTAGATCCATTATTTCATTAGGGATTGCAAGATATAATTTTCTAGTTTTCTTTCTGTGTTTTTTAGCTGTGGTTCTTATATAAAGAAAAAGGTTCCTTCATTAACTATTTGGTTACCTTGACATACAATTCCTACAGGAAAGCTTTCCCTGTATTTACAAAATAATGAGTTGATGCCCTAGCAACGCCCAAATATGAACTTTGAGGACTTTTTTGTTGCTACTGTCTTAATTCAGGTTTTAGTATCTTTGATGTGTTCCAATCCACTATACACAATATTTTTTGAATGCTCAAATTGTTCTGTCTTTGGTCAATGGGAGCGCCTTCATGTTGGCTCTTGATTCCTACTGACATGACACCATTAATTTCAGATAGCTTCTTTGCTTTCAGGCACAGGATGCTCCAAGGCTTATGGTATACAATTACTGCTCCAGACCTCAAATCAATCATTACTTCAAATAGCTTTGTGTCCTTTAATAGGAACTGTATTTAGACTATAATCTGGACACTAAGAATGCTTATTGCTAATAAGTTTTTATTGCTTCTAGGCACTGGCAGTAAATGGAGCTAGGGTTTTTAAAATAAGAAAAATTAAATCGTAAGTTCCTACCCATACTTCCAAATGACATTAAATGGTATAGGTGTTTTACCCAAGTTCTTTGGTATTATATTTATAGTTTTTTCTTACGTTGAAAATCTTTATTCCTGATGACTTTAGCAAGATTTTGTTATTAATTTTCAACTCACAAAAAACCCTGTGACAGAGTAAAAGTGTTCCAGAGGGTTCTCTAGGTGGTAAGTTTCACAAGAGGGTATTACAAGGGTATCACCCACAGAGTCACTAGGTGGGATCTGTCAACCTTTCAGTCAGCAGCTGAGCACTTAATCGTTGTATCACCAGGGATCCTTATTAGCAAGTTCACTTGTCCATATGTGTATGGGTGTTTCAAAATACCATATTCATATCATCACTAGAAATAATACAACTAAATGTAATTTATTATTTGTTTACATTCTTGATACATTTTAACCTTTGTTGAAGAATAACTCAGTGGACGAATCACTTTTGAAGCTGGCTGACACCATTGTGCCTTAATTGGGAGTAAAAGAATATAAGTGCAAAAGCTCAAGTCATATCAGCTTTTAGACCATTTCCCTTTCCTACTGGCATCCTGAGACGAAGACATAAGGTCTGGGTGGAAAAGTCTCCAGGGAACTGATATAAACACAGTAGAAACAAATCACCAGACTGAGTAACATGGGGTGAGTGAACTGAAGGAATGAGAGGCTAGGAACAAAATCATGACTATAATTCTCATTATATAGTCAAGATAAGTCAGGGCTGACAGGCAGCTGCAAATTTTCTCAGCAGGAGTTATAGTGAAATGCTGCTTAGCAACACCCGAAGGCAGATGACAATGAGTATGATACAAAAGAGCTAAAGAATCAGATTTAAGCGTGACAATCATACCATCTTACAGCTGACTATTCACCAACCAAACAACAACTATATTCTGGTGAAAAATATGCCACCTGCACTGCCTCTGCTTTGTTACTTGTATTTCCTATTTTAAAAACCAATAATCTATTAAAAATAATGTCTGAGGCAATCACATCCAGGCCCTATTTCATTTAATTATACTACCCTGAAAGCATTTTTTGAAATCTTGAAATGTCACAGAATGTTGTGGAGATTAGCTATAAGTTAGAGGATCTATAAAATTCAAGATAAAATTATCATTAGTAATTTTATTTTTCCAAATTAGAGTTACTAATCATTCCTAACTTTCAATGCATATTAGACTCCTCCATGGAGCTCTAATGCAGATGTATTGCATCAGCATTTCTGATAATAGGATGCAGGGCTCTATTTTGAAGACAATTCTAGCCAATTTTACTTCCATCAAAAGTTGAAACCACTGTGATTTAATGCTGTTGCAGTTCTGCAATGTTAATGTGCATGAGAATCAGCTCATGAGTTTGTTAAACATGCTGATTCCTGGGACCTATGATAGTTCTGGTAACAATGATGCAGCACACTCTGGGCAACATTTTAAAAACACACACAAACACGCCTCTTGAAAAAAATGCAAAGAAACAAAAACAGACAAATATCACTAGGCTGGGTTCCAAAATGTGGCTGCCACTGACCTGAGTGATGTTTGTGAAGATCTGTTCCGACATTCTCTCGCACAAAACTGTTATCAGTTGCAGGATCAGTAGCTTCCGCTCCTGGCCTTCCACAAGACTGTGGTGCTGCTCGAATTCCAAGAGGCTTTTGCTGGAGAAAGGCTGACTCTTTACCTCTGTTTCATTCTCCATGGCTACCTGAGTTAACTCCTACAAGTATGAGGGAAGAGAAAAAGTGAAGAAAGAGCCTGTAGAACTAGGGGCTTCATAAACTCAGCTAGACGACTCTTTTTGAAATAAAGAATTAGTCTGTGTTCTTTGTATTATTTTTATTTATAATAGCCAGAAATCAGAAAAATGTAAATGTCCAGCAATAAGAAAATAGATAACTTGTAGTGTATTTGTTGTAGTACAGCAATTAAAATAAATGAACTAGTCTCTCTGACTGTCCATATGGATAGATCTCAGAAATAGTGCTGAATGGAAAAGGTAATTTGTAGAATAATAACTCAATTTCTACTAATAATTAATTCATTACTGTGGCTTGCAGGCTTTTCACCTACCACAGTGTGAATTTCCTTGAAAAACGGAAAACCTTAAATTCTTTATCAATGAAATGTTTTTATCAAATCAACTGATAGTTTAGAGCCATCACTCTCAACTCTTCTTGGGCAATTCTGTTTCTTGGGGGACATTTGGCAATGTCTGGGAACATTTCTGGTTGTCATAATTGGGGGGGGTGATACTTAGATCTGGGCAGTCCTGGTGTGGTGCTGTGGGTTAAGCGCTGGCCTGCAAAGTCAATTTGAACCTCAGGGTTGGCGGTTTAAGCTCACCAGCTGCTCCTGAGAAACCCTATACAGGGTCACTATGGGTCGGAACCAACTTGATGGCACTGAACAACAACAACTTGCATCTGGGAGTCCTGGTGTGGTGCTGAAGGATAAGCAATGGCCCGCAAGGTTGGTCTGAACCTCAAGATGGCATTTTAACCCATCTGCTGCTCTGAGGAAACTATATACAGGGTCGCTATGAGTTGGAAGCAACTCAACAGCACTTATAACAATCACACTTGCATCTGGGGGAAACAGAAGCTCTGTGCAATAAGTATTGGACTACAAATCACAAGGTTCATGGTTCAAACCCACCAGCCACTCCACAGGAGAAAGATGAGGTTTTCTACTCCCACAAAGATGTACAGCCTTGGAAACCATACACAGGGTCAGTAAGAATCAGAACCAACTCAGAGGTGCTTAAAAACAATAACTTGCTTCTAATGGGTAGAGGCTAGGATTGCTGCTAAATATCCTACAATGCTCAGGACAACCCTCCACTATATGACCGAAAATGTCAACAGTGCTGCGGCTAAGAAAACCTAATTTAGAGCAAAGCCCTTTAATTTTCTTTCTTTGTTTTTAAAATAATTAGTTTTAAAAGGTATGCAATTATGAGCACATCTCCACAGAATGCTACTTAGAATAAGTGACTGGACCTGGAGATGGATGTGAATATGGAAGGTCAAAAAGCATCAAAATATTGCCCCCTGGAGCCCTGATTCCTTCCTTGCATTCTTCCACCCCCACACCTTAAACCTTACACACATTCTCCTAGAGTACCCATTTTATGTAGAATTAATAGCAGAAAAGGCAGAGCTGGGAGACAGGAATCAAAGCTCACCTGGCATATGATGTCAGGGAGTGAAAATAAGGAGTAACATCATGGGGTGCAAGTTACTATCAGAGATTAGGGCAAAGGGAAGCACAGCCACTAACTAGCACTTATGAAACAAACCCGGAAAAGGTTTCAAGTGGCAACAAAATGAAATGAGAGAGGCAGAACTTCTAAATCTTCTCGCCAAATACCTGACCAAACAAGAGTCAGAGAGGATAAGGGATTACTCCATAGCCTTAAAACCCTCTATTAACTTCAAAAGAGTTCTTACTGTCAACAAAGAACAAAGATTAACCCTTCCCTAGACTATATTTCTGCTTTGTTCATAACTAAAATTTCACCGCAGGTTACCCTGCAAGTAGGTAGATCATATATGTGCACTACTAAAGGTAAGTGACTTCTTTAACCAATCCACTCAAAGTGATTATTAAACACATTTACCTCATGTCCTCTGATTATTTTCCCTACTTAGGACTTAAAGTTTAGATTCTAAAACTATGAACATCTTAAAAATTCAAAGGATCTCTAGAATGACCCACGAATACCATTGACCATGAGCTTTATATATTTCTTACCTTCAGGCAGAAGATGAAGAAGTCTCCTGCCAAACCACATTCCTGACAATGGGACAGCAAGTCGCTGAGATGTTCCACTTGACATTGCTCTGAGGACACCTTCTGGTACAGGGCTTCATCCTCATCTTCCTCACTGCAAGACAGGGGAAGATGTATCTTGGCAGTGTTACCCAGAGATTTTATTTTTAAAGATCATTTTCTGAACTCCCATATTATTTCCATATATAAATCATTATGAAGATCTTAAAAATTTTTTTAAATATTTTCCTATTTCTCCAGGATCTAGGCTAAAGATCTACATGGTAGCATGCATGCTCAGATAGGAAAAAGCTCATGAAGAAAGTGGCTTTTAAGATAGATTGCTGAACAAGTCACAGTAGCAAGGAGAATTAACGTTGTATGCAGATAATCTAGTTCTTTAAGAAGAAGAGAAAAAGAGAAGGGTGCAAAACGAGGAAAGATCATGGAGGGTCCTGCATGTCACACAAAGGAACTAGGATTTTTTTTTTTTTAATGAGCCACTGAAGGATTATGGACAGTGGAAACAGATCAGATCATCAAAGTAAGAGATGAAGTCAATCTCATGTAATATGAGCCAATTAGTTAAGAAAGTATATAAAGTTTCATAAAATAGTGTGCCAATAAATTTTGGCTAAATTACTGAAAACTGCTATTTCTGTTAAAAGTTCCACAAAACTTCTCATAAGGTACTAAGGCATTTAGATTTAATTCATCTGATAAGCAAAGAAATTGGTACTCAATATTATAAATCCAATAAACAGAAGACACACTGAAAAACAAACACTAAACGAATATAAACAATGAAGAGAACAGTGGTTAAATTGTGCTTTATGATTTTTTGTTTTATACAGAGAACATGTTACTTCTGTGAGCAAAAAGAGAATGAAAATTTTTTTCAGAATAAATTGAGGATAAACTGACAGACGTTGCCTCATGTCATTAAAAAATTAAAGTTAATTTGGCAGGCGAACTCATTGATATGTTCCAATTTGCCAGTTCACTAATAACATGGCCTTCATAATCCTCTAATAGAACTAATAACTTATAAACTATGCTTTGGATTACTTGCTATATTAACCCAGAATCTTCTAGAGTCCTTTAAATTAGTCATGTTTCCTTCTCCATAAATTGCTACTCTATATTAGAAGAAAAGTGGAAATAGATAAACATCAATTATAAGCTTCTGTGAACCATCGTGTTTGTTTAAATAAAAATGAAGCACTGTATTCAAATACTTTTAAACAGACTCGATGAAGAAGAGGAAGGGCTGCTGGTTGGTCCAAAGTTTGGGGAGACTTGGGAACTCCTGAGCACATGGACACTGACCTAGCCATAGGGGCTTAAAGCTGAGAGTGAAGTGTCCAGGTGATATGAGGTGTGGGGAGGAGCAAAAGCACACCCAAACTTACAGATAGTTCCCACTTGTCATAGCTTAGATGGTTTGATGATCAGAACTTGACTATAGGAAGATAAAGAAATCTGATACAGGAAGCAAGTGTAAATTGCTACAATTTGATGAACTTGACCTTTACTTATGGATGTAGTAGCTCAAAATACCAACTGAGAGGGAAAGAGTCTTCACATCAAGGATCAAGCCTATTCTCTCAGTACACAGGGCTGATAGGGATGAGCAACTTAGACATTGGCTACATAAAATAGGGGTGCTATAAAGGTACGAGGTGACTGGCTTACAAGGTTTCAAGAAGGAGCTTAGTTAAGAGTGTGGGGGGAAAAGAAGAGTCCCCACTGAATAGTTATCATCTTGTCTAGATGGGTCTGGTGAAAGGAGATGGGGATTAAGATTCGTAAGATTCAATAGTGAATAACTGTTATCATGACTAATCGCGACTGTCACAAGCTGTTTTGACCACTGTAGCCATGTAGTAAATTTTGAAGTAGGGGAGTATTCTTCTTCTTAAGCAGTACTTTGCTTATCCTGGGTCTCTTTCCTTTCCATATATAGTTTGTAATTGTTTTTCCACCTCTTTGAAGATGCTGGAATCTGGATTGTGATTGCATTATATGTGTAAATTGCTTTTGGCAGTATTGACATTTTCACAATGTCTTCCTATCCAGGAGCATGGTATATTCTTCCATTTTTGTAGGTGTCTTTTGGTTCTTGTAGTAGTGTTTGGTAGTTTTCTTTGTATAAGTTCTTTGTTTCTCTGGTTACATTTATTCCTAGATATTTCACCCTTTGGGTGGCTATTGTAAATAGTATTGCTTTCCTAATGTCCTTTTCAATGCTGTCGTTTTTGGTATAGAGGAATCCAACTGATTTTTGTATGTTTTTCTTCTTTCTTGTCTTCTTAATGACCTTTTACTTTCTTTCTGTATGTTGTTCTTGATGTCATCCCACAATTCTTCTGGTCTTTGGCCACTGGTGTCTAATGCATCAAATCTGTTCTAGAGATGATCCTGAATTTAGGAGGGATATGTTCAAGGTCAAATTCTGTAACCATAAAACCTACTGATAATGCTCAGCAACTATCAGCAAATTACTAACTTGGATTTGTATTGATAATTCTGTTTGCAAACTATGTGTTTTTCTACTTACCTGAAATCCTTCATATTAAAAGAGTGTTTGTAAACTGTGCCAAGTTAACCATGAATATAAAAGTAAATTCAAACACCTCAAGAAACAGCAACACTTTGAATGTGATAGGGCATCCAAATAGGGCAGCTGCTACTAATTAAATATGGTATGGACCCTAATCAATAGGAAATGAAATTCTGAGTTAATAATGTCCTCTAGGAGTCCTGGTGTGGCGCTGTGGGTTAATGCACCAGACTGTAAAGCCGTTTGATCTATAAGGTCGGTAGTTCAAACTCACAAGTTGCTCTTTGGAAACCCTACATAAGGTCACTATGGGTCAGAAATGACTCGACAATCCTTAACAACAACAACAACAACAACAACATATATCACCTAGAGAATCAAAATAAATTGAAATACATACTCACAAGATATCAGAAACATAAATTCATACACCAAATTAACATTTGTTAACATCTTATATGTACCAAATATTAGGTAAATGAGGATTTAAAAATGGATAATAGTCAATTCTTTCAGCTAAATATTCCCTAGAAGAAACAAAACTCCATCACAAATTGCCATAAAAGATAGCTATTAGATAATTTGCTTTAGGAATAAGTTTGACTCTGAACACATATACCATCTCTATTGTCAGAAAAGAATAGGCTTATTCTGGTCTTGAAGGGCAACATGATACGTTATTAGACTTAACTCTGATTCACTGGTAAAGTACAGGGGCTTGTGGTGACTGGAGCTGAGGCCCTGGTAAACTGCACATACTGTTAGCTTGATGTTGTTGTTAGGTGTTGTCGAATTGATTTTCGACTTATAGCAACCCCATGTGCTAGAACCCAGGAAAAATCCTGGAGGCACTGCTTAAGGCTCACATTGCATGCAAAGAATTTCTGGCTTCCTTTCTATCAGCGCCCCTTAGTGGGTAAGTCACAGAATGGCCTTTGGGTAGAATTCAATCTGATGTGAAGTAGTAGAGGTGGGTGGACTCACCAAATGGTCTCTTGGATGAGAATCATAATGCCACCTTGACTGGCAACTCTAAACTGACACAGAGAATGGAGAGAGGGCACAGATTTGTCCAACCCTGCAAATCCTTTCAGGCTGGCAACTGCCTTCTTCCTTTCCAACTTCTCCAGAATCCACAATAAGATCTCTTGGCAAAGTGACCTGGCAGAAAAAAAGTTATGAATGAGCCTGTCATCTTACTCTACACATCTTACTAGCTAATATAAAGAAGGAAAGAAAGACTCGGCTTCATTATATTCTAAATGCTGGCTTAACACTTAACCAGACTGACATGCATGAGTGGAAAGTGGCTTTATATGAGAGTCATAATGCAAATATCCTGAAATTTCACAAGTAAATGACTAATCCTTCACTCTAGAGGTAACCCTGATATGTCACATGAGCCCCACATGATTGTTTATTTTATTTTATGGTCATTTCAGCGCTTAAATGTGTTCTCTGGCCTTTGAATCAAGTACGATGATCCAAAACTTAGATAAAATCATGGATTACCTGTGAGACCAATAGCTAGTGAACAGAAAACAATGTATCAACAAAATATTGCTGACTTCTTATCCTGTAATCTGTACCAGTCAAGTAACAGAGGAACAGAATAGAGTAAGCCTTTGCTTCTTCCTTCTGTCTCTGCTGAGGACATGATAGTGCTATGAGGACTTTGTTTCCAAAACTCTTAAGAGTTACTTCATGGGCAGTTCTCGGAAGCTACATGCATATACTTAGTGTCCATCTTCCACTGCATTATCTGTTTTTACTTCCCTTGTGGCTATGCTGACCAAAAAGTTAGAGGGGCAAAGGCAGGATGTAAGTGCTGGGTAATATGCAAGCCCGAGTATTTTCTTTCACCAATTCAAAAGGGTAATGATGAGAGATACCATTTACTGAGCTTACCATTTACCAGGGACTGCTAATAAGCATTCACCATGTACTATTATTCTTAACCACAAGGTCAGCTGTGCAAACCTACCAGCTGCTCCTCGGAAACCCTATGTAGGATCTATGAACCAGAACTGGCTCCATGGCACTTAACAGTAACATATGTAAGTAAAACATTTCAGTCTTCATAATAACCCTCCAAAGGTGATATTACTGTACCTCAAATTGCATCTGATAGTTTCCAAGCACCAAAGAAATCAAAATTCTATAGGACTTTAGAAAGGACATAAACTTTACCAAGTGGGAGGAACAATATAAGTAGCTGAGAATATGGTAGTTGTGATGTGCCATGGAACGGTAACAATTCATAAAGACCTTGTATAGGGCTTCTGAGGAGTGGTTGATAAGTTTGAACGGCTGATCTCATGGTTCAAACTGACTTTGCAGTCCAGTTCATTAACTGACACCACCACACCAGGACTCCATACAACCCTTGGTGGTGGTGGTTATGTGCTATAGTGTCGCTTCCAACTTATAGCGATCCTGAATAGTGTTTCCAAGGCTGTAAATTTTTATGGAAGAAAGCCTCATCTTTCTTCCACGGAACTATTGGTAGTTTCAAACTACTGTCTGTGAGACTAGCAGCCCAACTTATAACCACTACTAAAGCTCCTTGGCTGAGAACATAGAACTAAACAAAATGTTGTTACTGTTAAGTGCCGTCAGGTTGGTTCCAGCTCATAGCGATCTTGTATAGGGTTTCTGAGGTTGTAAATCCTTGCAGGAGCAGAAAAAGTCTCATCTTTCTCCTGTGGGGCAGCTGGTGAGCTCAAACTACAGATTTTGTGGTTCCCAATCCAGTATTTTCTGGGTGACTAAGAACTCCCTTCTTTCCACACACTCTGCATCACTAACACCAAATCCATGTCTAAATTACAGAGGGTGCTCCATTCAGACCCTGATTTCCCACACTGGTTTCTAACTCCCCACAAGTATTATGATCCATCACCTATTTCCTTCTTCTTAGACACGTAAATCCAGTATTTCTCGCTGATCAAACAGTGGCATGTTTATACATGTAAACAGAGATTTTATTTCTGGTGTCTAGGACAGAGGCTGAGGCAAGCCATTCTAAAAACTGTATTTACTCCTTTGTATTTTATCAAATTCCCTTTGCTTTCCAGATGAGCAGAAAACAAGAATCCCCAAATGTAACAATGGCAAATGGTTTAAGTCTTATATTCAAACCCAGAACAACATGCTACGCCTTCACTATTTACAAATAAATAAGATTGTCTTGGTCATTTACCTTATATGAGACACACTCTGCTTGGTAAAACAATAGAGAGAAAAGAGCACTCCCAGGACTGGAAGTAGAGAATCCACCAAAACTGTTAAAGGTTCATTCCCAATCACAAACACCTAGGGAAAAGGAAATGGTGAGAAGTACCATGAATGCAAGGCCAAGGAATGGGAATCAGACATCAGACACTTAGCAGGTTTAGCGTCTTATCTAAATGAACAATGTTAGGTCTAAGGCTTTGCTCTGATATAGCAATGAAACCATTTGAGATTGTCAGACAGGCTGAAACAAAAGAGAACATGAAGTGGAGCAGCACCCTCCCATGCATGCTGCCTAAAGAACTGCTGGATTACATGAGTAAATTAGTTTACTTTCTGACCTCTTCCTTTCCTACTTTTTACTACCTCTCAGTCTCATCATCTGCCTTTTATGTATACAACAACTGTCCTACTGCTGAAGGACCACCTACTATGAACAAACAAAATTGCCACCAAATTAAAAAAATTATAACAAAATTAATTATAAAAAACAAAAATATAGCTTGCTCTAGATTTGTCTGTCTTATGATGTAACTACCACATGGGCATGTCCTAGCTCTTCAATCCAATAAATGTTCACAGAAATTACACTGTGCAGCTAGATTTACAGGGTTATGCATGTGAGGATGCATATATATTTTTTAATGTTTTATTGTGAATTATTCGAGAACTTTAGTTTTACATTCATTCCATCGTGTATCATTTCATTGCCATGGTTCCAATCCCTTCCATGCATCATCAACCAACCAAAGGGTATATCCTAGAAACCCGCCCCCTACACTTCCCGCCCCCTGCCCCCCAGTCTTCGGCCCATAGTCCCTTTCCCTCTCTGGATCCAAAGTCCCCAGCAGCTTCATCACTCCACATCATCGTCTCTGTCTCTATCTCAGGCATCTCTGCTTCTCTGGGTAGGGTTCCACTCTTGGCTCTTCTCAGTTGATGGTCCCAGAGACCTCCACTCCTGGACTGGAGAATTAATCACTCCCTTCCTTGTTACAAAACATCTACCTTTGCATTTCCAACCCTCATAATCCGTCCTGATAAGCATTGTTCACTACAGCATCACAAGTTACCCATCTGTATTTCATTTCATCAGCTCCGCCCAGACAGATTGAATAGTACCCACTGGGGATTCTGCCTTTATCCATGCTCCCTAGCACTAGGTTCCCTCTTGAAAGCTTGCAAGCATCACTTCTTGCCTTTATAGTGCCCCCCTCCCTATTTGAGTATCCAATGTCCAAGTTGCCCATCTCCGTCCACTCTGTGTGTGGAGGGGGTGGGAATGTTTCTTGTTGTAAGGATTTGTTCCTTCTTTTGAGTTGGAGGATGCATATTTTTATTAAACAATAGTTATACTACATATTTTAATTGCATCTTTCAAAGGCACTCAATTCAACAAACTTTTGTAGTACATCCACTGGTTCAAATCACTGTCCTAGGCATTTTGGTAGATGGAAAAATGAGTAAAAATCTCTTTTGCTCAGATTGTTTATGATCTAACATGAGAATAAAGTTAAGTAAACCAGTTATAAAAATAAAAAAAATTAATTCAAGGCATATCATTTAAAATTATCTTAAGAAATACAAAATGCTATTAAAAATTCCAAACATATTAGGATTTCAAAATAAAAGATTTTCAGAATGGAATTCTGTTACAATAAATCAATAAAAGCTGACAGTGCAGACAGTGATAATGATGATAAAAAAGAGTTAGAAGTGGGACTCACAATGGTTTTGCTTTTAATATATATTCTAGGAACTATGCTAGGTTTTTAATCTTTCAAGTCCTATGTTAAATTTATTTTTAAAGTTTATTAAAACTAAATCTTGAAAATAGGCACTGGCAGCCCTACATTAGAGAAAAACGCATTGACCCTGAATTGATTCCGATTCACAGTGACCCTAAAGGACAGAGTAGAACAGTCGACAGGTTTCCCAAGGCTGCAGTCAGACTGCCATATGTTTCCCATGGAGCACAGAGTAGCTAGCTGGTAGGATCAAACTGGACCCAAGTCATGGTATTTTCAGTTGTATGACATACATGTGATAGCTGGGCAATGAATAAGATGATTGGCAAACTACTGATATGCTGGTAAAGAATACGGAATATACCATGAACTGCCAGAAGAATTAACCAGTCGGTCTTGGAAGAATTCAGCCAGAATGCTCCTTCAAAGTGAAGATGGTGAGACTTTATTTTACGTACTTTGGACATGTTATCAGGAGGGACCAGTCCCTGGAGAAGCACATCACGCTTGGTAGAGTCAGAGCAAAAGTGGAAGACCCTGAACGAGATGACACAGTGGCTGCAACAATGGGCTCAAACATAGAAAAAGTTGTGAGGATGGCACAGGACAGGCGGCATTTGTTCTGTTGTACATGCAGTCACTATGAGTCAGAACAGACTTGACAGCACCTAATACAAAAGTGGGGTCCTGGTGTGGCACTGTGGATTAATACGCTGGACTGCAAAGTTGGTTTGAAATGCAAGGTTGGTGGTTCAAGCTCACCAGCTGCTCCTTGGAAATCTTATACAAGGTTGCTATGGGTCGGAACTGACTTGATAGCACTTAACAACAACAATAACAAAAGCACTTTAAAATGAGGAAAGGAAAGCTTAAAATAGCCCTTATTTATATTAAGTTTATTGAGGCACAAACCAACTGTTTTAAGATCTTCTGTTAAACCCGAATACCATGGAGATGACTGTAGAAACTAGAAAAGTCTCTGGGCTTTTCAAGAGAACTCTGTCCCTTTAAATCAACTTGGACTTTTCATACTCTTTAACATCCCAACTCCTTTGCCAAGCCTGATAAGCAAGGAGCCAGCTTCCTGTGCATGAGCTAATCTCTGTAAGCCCAGCTAAATGTAGTGCATTGTGCGGCAGTGTTCAGAAGTAATATGCAGACCTAATTATGATATCACCAATTACAGGAGGAGATCCTACAGATAACGCAAGGGCCTATTGTTTGGTTTTGGATCCTGTGTTCCCAGAGGTAATCCCTGTGCAGCTCTCCCTCTTTACAGACATCTTTTGTAAAAAAAAGAAAATAAAAAGTACAGATGGGGTTAAACTGTTATTATTTACTGATGTGATGGAGCCAAAGCACCTCAAAATTAAATACGACTCAATGGAGCACATCTCTCAGGAGTACATGCTGTAGATATGGTGGTGGTGTGGTGTTGAATCGGTTCCGACTCAGTGACGCTGAACAGGGTTTCCGAGGCTGTAAATCTTTACGGGAGCAAAAAGTCTCATCTTTCTCCTGAGCAATGGCTGGTAGTTTCGAACTGCTGACCTTGAGGTTAGCAGCCCAACTCATAACCACTACTCTACCAGAGCTACTTGTTGTAGAGATAGCCCTCCAATTTTTGTTCTGTTCTTTTTATATACTTTTCTGTGTTTTTGTATAACGTTTCACATTTAGAAAAACTGCACCACTATTTTTGTTGTTGTTGAGTGCCACTATTTATACATATTATTTATTTAGATAGAAATATATATGTGTGTATATGCATATATGTATATATATGTGTGTATGTATATAGGAACTCTGGTAGCGTAGTGGTTACAAATTGGGCTGCTAACCTCAGGGTCAGCAGTTCAAAACTACCAGCTGTTCTGTGGGAGAAAGATGAGGCTTTTTGCTCCTGTAAAGATTTACTGCCTCAGAAACCCCGTACAGGGTCACTATGAGTCAGAACCAACTCCACAGCACATAACAACAATAAATACACACACAGACACACATATATATATGCATATATACATATATGTGTATATACACACACACACACACACACATATAAGGAGTTCTGGTAGTGCAGTGGTTATGAGTTGGGCTGCCAACCTCAAGGTCAGCAGTTTGAAACTACCAGCAGTTCCATGGGAGAAAGATGAGGTGTTCTGCTCCCATAAAGATTTACAGCCTTGGAAACCCTGCAGGGTCACTATGAGTGAAAACCGACTCCACGGTATTTAACAACAACATAAGGAGCCCTGGTAGTGGATCAAGAGTTGTGCTGTTCACCACATGGTCAGCATTTCAAATCTACCAATCACTCCATGAGAGGAAGATGAGATTTTCCACCCCCATAGAGATGTACAACCTTGGAAACTCTATACAGGGTCGGTAGGAGTCGGACCCAACTTGGTAGCACACAACCACCACTACCACATATACACACAAATTTATTCAGCAAATGAAAGATTCAGTTATGAGTAGACAAAAGTAGTAGGCACGCTCATTGTGCTGTGTATACAGTTCATGATGAACAAAGAATCTGTTCCAAAGCAGCTTACATTCTAGCAGACAAGACCAACAATAAGTAAGTATCAGGTGTAAAATACCAAGTAATGAAAAGTGCTGAGGGAAAATAAAACAGGTAAAATGAGTATAGCGTGAAGGAGAGGGCATGTGGAGAGAGAAAAGAAGTATAACTCTTTCCTATTCATCGACTTTTATCTATTAAGTTCAAAGAGAGGAAAACAGAAATGAGAATTTAAAAAACTTAAAATTTTGTGAAAAAGTCTCCTTATGGTTCAATCTGATAAAATTTCCCTTTTATATCTCCAAAAAGTTGAATGACCTCTGCTTGACATATACAAAAATGTCTCCTCCCTTTCCACAGCAATAGTTAAGTACTTCCTTGTCCATAGCTACCTCTCTTTAAAGTTCCTTGATGGAAGTACATTGATTTCTCAAACACATTGGACTGCACCTCTAAAAGCAATTATTCAAATCCTGTTTCTTTTGTCTATTTGCTATTTTCCAATGACCAGCCTCTAGTTTGTAGATACAAAGAGTGGCAGTGGTACCTATTAAAATGACTCAGCTCAAGTTCTACATCTCTGACTTAGTTATCTAGTGCTGCCGTAACAGAAGTACCATAGATGGAGAGCTTTAACAAACAAATGTCTATTCTCTCACAGTTTACGAAGCTTAAGTTAGAATTCAGAGCATCGGCTCTAAGTGAAGTCTTTCTCTGTACACTCCAGGGCAAGGTCTTCGTCATCAGTCTTCTCCTGAGTCTAAAAGGTTCATAGCACTGTGATCATGAGTCTAAAGGAGACATTCCAC